TGCGTGCATCGTGGTTGCGGCCGAGACGTTGGTGCACTGGAACAGGGTACGCTGCCTGCCGCCTGGCGGTGTCTGGTGTATCGACGTGTCCTTGGCGGGATGCACCGAGAGCATGCACTAGCTGGCGTTGAGCTCATGTCACCGAGACAACGAGCTCTCCGCCTGTTGCACCACCGCGCGTTCAAGCAGCGTGTGGATTTCTCGGTGGGCCCGGCGATCTTCGGACGTCGCGGCCTCTGGAAGGCCGTGAAACAAGGCCGTTGCGGCGGCGATGTTCTGGCTTGCCCGGGTGAAGTGAGGGTGGGCTCCGTCGTCGGTGAGGATCCTCTGGTACACATCATGGGCCGTGGCGCGTGCGCGTCCAAGGTCCCCGCGACGCTTGATGTCCTCATCGATTCTCTGGTATTCTCGGACGAGTTATTGTCCGGCATCATCGATTTCCAGCTTTCGTGCTCTCAGCTGCTCCGTCCTTACGTGGGATGGGGCCGCCGCCCTCCCTCCGTCCCTCACGTCAGGGTTGGCTGTTGGAGTAGCGTCCCCCTCAGAGACGCTTTTGACGTGCCCTCGGAGGTGTCCACCATGAAGCACTCCCGAGAGGGGTGATGGTTCCCCATACTGGAGCCAGAGTTGGAGGATGATTCTGGCTCCTCGATGAGGAGTTTGTGGAGGGACTCCGCGTCGTGTTCAATTACCCCCACGAACTCGCTGATCGTGGGAGTTTGGACCATGCGCAGTGCCATGAGGTGGCAAGCGGTTGCCACGGCGTTGCGGAGACCGTACGGAAACGCTGTCGGGGCACCCCGCACGTGGCGCTCCGAAGAGAGGTGGCTCTTTCCGAAGGTCATGACACATCGTTGTCGCTGGAAGGGGCGAGGCGACGCTGGTTCTTCCTAGACTGCTGGGGTCCGAGGGAGACGCCGAGCTGGCGCCCAAGCCACTTATGGTCGAGGGCGGTGGAGGGGAGAGACCGGATGGCGGTGTTCGCCCATACCAACTCTCCTCCCACCATAATGATGAAATCTAGGCTCCCGAAGCGCACGTGTGCGCCTGGGACCCAGCTGACGTCATGCTTAGCCATCCGTGGCCTGGTTTGGAACGCGCAAAGGGCCCTACCTGGTGCACCAACTGTCGGTGTTTCGAACAAACACGACGAGTGAATTTATAATTGATGCACATTAGGCCCGGATGGTGTGCTAAAGGACACAAGGTTTATACTGGTTCGGGCCGAATGTCCCTATGTCTAGTCCGCTACTGCGGCTTGTATTATTAGCACCAAATATGGTTCATAGTAGGGGGTACAAACGGTCGAGAGAGGGACGGGTCCTAGGTCTCTGATGGAGGGGTCGAAAGGATGCCAAGGGCCTGGCGGCGACTTGGCTGTGTGTGCGTGAAACAGAAGGCTCTATGAGCTCGTCTGTATGTGGGTTGTCCGTTGAAAGTCGATTTGTTTGGTCCTCTTCTTCATAGGGAGCCCTGTCCTCCCTTTTATAGATGAAGGGGGGAGCAGGTGTTACAGGTGAAAAATACCAAGGGTATAGAAGGTCCTTCGCAGGGCTCGGGTCTTCCTTTTCCTCCAAGCCAGCCTCAGACACGACCAGCTGGTGTCAGAGGTTGGCATGTTCGCCGGGTACTTGTGTGCTGATGATGCTGCATTCTACAAGTGGTCACGTCCCATCCCGCCTCTGCGGGCGACGTGTCGGGCAGGAGTGCCGGCCTACGATATTGTGGGGGGCGAACGGTGCGGCACCCGTACGCTTGTCAGCATCGGGGACGTGAGTCCTATTGCGGTGTTTGTGTTAGGCTCCATGTTAGAGGGTTGAAGGCGGCGCCCGCAATACTGTAGGCTGTAAAACCCGGCGCCTACAGTACTACTCAGGTCCTGTCATGTCCGGCAGGGCCTAAAGCGCTCGTCCCATCGTACTTCGATGGTACTTGTCAGTAGAGCAGGGCATGGTTCTTGCTTCCATGGTTTGACCCTAACGTCTTGTCTTACCCTGTTCTTGCCCTCATGGAGGGGTAGGATGAGGACGTCGGGTGAGGCCGTGCTCAGCCCTTGTCGATCGGACGAGGCGGAGTTTGGCCCTCGAGGGTCGGTCGAGGCGGAGTCTAGCCCTCGGGGGCCGGACGAGGCGGAGTCTGGCCCTCTGGGGCCGGACGAGGCGGAGTCTGGCCCTTGGGAGTCGGTCAAGGTGGAGTCTGGCCCTCGGGGGCAGGACGAGGCAGAGTCTAGCCCTCTGGGGCCGGACGAGGCGGAGTCTGGCCCTCGGGGGTCGGACGAGGCGGAGTCTGGCCCTCGAGGGTCGGACGAGGTGGGGTCATTGCGCTTCTGTTCGATTGAGAATGTCATCGGTACTTATCAACTCTACCTCATTGGGTATCCCAGTATTAGATCCCCGACAACTTGAAACCGACTTTTCCTGCAAGAGCCAAAGCAAATCTCCCAGGCTTGTCATGTGTCCTGCGTGGTCAGATTTTCACGTCGACAGAATCTAATGATTCCTATTTGGTATCATAAATGTTATTATTTTATTACATAAATTTAGTCAAACTTCATATACTTTGACTCTACAAGAAAATTAAAATGACTTATAATTTGGTATGGAGGGAGTACCTTTTTCTAGTTTGGCTTGTCTATCGCCTTTTCTGCTCTGAGACATGTCATGGAGAGGGAGACCTAGAGTGGGGCGTTCCACTGGCCGACCATCATTGCTGTGAAGCAGACCTTGAGATATCGAGCTTCTCCTAATACCACTCCTCATATCGATAAAATTATTATATTGGGAAACATAAGTCTTTTTTCTTGTAGGGCATTTTATTTCATAGGTCTAAGATGTTTATAGAAGAGCATTGGTCGGATTTAGGATAGATAGCTCTACTACCAAGAGGGGCAAATATATTTGCCAATCAGTTATCTAGTGTCACTAGATGTGATCTAACTCGAGAGTCCATTTAGATCGAGTAGCATGAAAAGGAAGCAAGTGAAGACCTTTGCAAAAATGTTTTCAAAATGCTACCTTAGCCCTAAAGGTGTTTTCTGTCTTGCGGAACACCCTTTAGAGTTAGTGCATTTAAAAAATAGTCTGAGACGCTTGGTGGGGTGTTTTTACACCCACCAGAACTGTCCGGTGAGGAGCACTAGAGGTTAGCGTTCCATCCGTTACTAGTACAAGTGTCTGTGTTTTCCTATTCTGTGGGCACTAGATCTCTCCTTGAGCACTGGAGATGCTCACTAGAGAGTTAGTCCACCAAGTTTTAGAAGGGTGCTCAGTTGTCACTGGAATTCTCCGGTGGACCACTGATTTTTTGCACAGAGGCTGTTGTAGGCTATTTTTCAGAGGCGGGGCACCTTACATTCTGGTGCTTATCGTAGTCGAGTCACCAACAGTTTGGAATAGTGGATTGACAGCGTGAAATGCAGTAGTGTGCACCGGAGCTCTCGGGTATGGGCGCCGGAGTGTGCACCGGATCTTGACTCCAAAGACAGGTTTTAGCGCGTGTGTTTGGGCCAGTGTGAGCACTGAATCTCTCTGGCGGTGCACCGGAGAGGGCATCGGAGCTGCACCTATGCAACAGCTAGTTTAAGTGACCGTTAGAGTTCTCTGGGTGTGGGAGTTATTGTACTCACGGGTGCTTTCCAATGGTTATGTTTCTGTGCAAAAAGTGCACAACGGCAAGTTTGGCTTAGTGTCAAATAGAAGTTGTGGTTGGGTGAGTTCAGGTTGCTAGTGCCTATGGATGATACCAAGACACACTAGAGCCAATGTTAGCCCTCCACTTACATATGCTAAGTTGAGATTGCATTCGTGGTGAGATTGGAGTGATCTATAGCGCATTTGCTTGAGATGAAGATGAGCTCACCAAGTGGCCTTTTGTGAGGATGGGAATGGTTGAAGGGTGGCTGATGTTAATGAGAGACGGTAGACATCAAGCCAGCGAGCCATAGGTATAAGTAAATAGATAAGTAATTGAAGCTTAAAGAACTGGAACCGAAAATAAAATAATCGTAATCAAGAAAATCGGTTCCAGACAGTATGGAACCGAATTTTCTTTGGTATTTCGGTTTTTACTATTAGTTAACTGAGTTATCCAAAAAACAAATTATGAACTTGTACTTCACTTAGATGCATTTTGTAAGAATATATTTTTGGTTATATTGTGATTTATTGTCATATTTGAATTCAAGTGTATTTGTGTTACTTATATTGTTGTTGTTCTCTTATCAATTATTATTATCTAAAATAGGAGAAGTCGTACTCAAATACATTTTTATTGTCTTAGCTTATGTTAAAAACTAAACTTCAGTTAGAACCAAAACCAAACCGAAATTTCTAAAAACAAAAACTTGAAGTGATCTGTTCTTTGCATTTCTTAGAACTAATGGGACCCTCTGTTCTACCAACCATTTCTATGAGAACCGTAGAATCGGTTCCATAATTTGATTTGATCACCTCTACTTCACGAACAACCTGGTCAATTCGTCAATAAACTGAAGATAACGAGCGAAGTCAGATCTATATGAACATATAATTGCTTATTACTCAAATCAGCAGACACATAGATAATGTATAAATATACTCATTTTATTGCCTCCTTTTCTTCAACAAACACTACAACTTCTTTACCAAAAACGAAAGAAAGGAAAAGAAAACACTGCTGCTGCTACTCAGTCTGCACTTGCATCACAATCTTGCGTACGAGTGTACGACTGCCGTCACAGCTCTGCGTCCCCTTTCATGAACACCACCACTCCTCAAACTCTGTTCCCACCTTTGCTGGCCATCCCTGCACATAATTACACGGATGATGATGCTCACAGTCACAGCTAAAGCATCACATCCTGGATCTGGATCATCATCCAGCAGCCTTGCACGGCGCAAGGCAGCATGCATGCATCATCATGTTGTCCTGACGAACCCAGCCAAGTTAATCACCATGTGTTTGGCCACCTTCAATATAATCAACTCCCCAGATTAACTTGCGCGATGTTGATTTACAGTTTTTCACATGATACTGCATCCAGGGTCCTGTTCTTGCTGCGGGTAAGCTGCAGGGTAGGAGTAGACGGCAGGGTAGGACGGCATGGCGTTGTACTGCTGGTAGGTAGGGTAGGAGACCGGTGGCATCGCCTGGTAGTGGCCGCCGCCGTAGCCTGCAGGGCCGCTGCTGCCCTTGCCACCACCGCCGCCGCCGCTCTCTTTTCCCTCTTTGCCACCACCAAATCCACCGCCGTAGCCCATGCCACCGCCACCACCGTACATCATGCCACCGCCGCTCCCGTAGCCATACCCATCGCCCTTCTTCTTGTCGTCGCCGGAGCTGACGCTGAGCAGTTCCGCGTGGCCTAGGCTGCGCCGGAGCATGGTCGTCAGCGTGATGGGGTCCACACCGTCGCCGACGACGATGATCTTGTCGCCCTCCATCGTGGCGGATGTCACACCTGCGGAATCGTACGTCCAGCACCACATCAATTGTCAGAACGGGACTTGATCACTTCACAACCATTATCAATTCTATTTCCAACAGCAACAGAGATGCTAATCAAATCGCAGTGATTGTTAGTTGATCTTACCATTCATGCCCACAGCAGCCTTGAAGGCCTTCCTCCTCTTCCTCTCGTCATCCAGGGGTAACTTGAGCACAATCTTTTGCTGCAGCGAGAAATCAAAGAACCCCCAAGAAATTCAGAACAAAAACATTCAGGCACACAAATGAAGCAATGAATGAAGACGGCTGGATGAGCGACCAACCTTGCCCATCTTTCTTGCACGGAATTCTTCACAGAGCTTTCCTGTCTTGGCCGTACAACAGAGAAGAGTACTGGACTGTACTTGGAGTTAGGAATATCTTGTGCGATATGATTGGTGAGCAAGACGAGAGGAGCTGCTGCAAGCTCTTGTGAGTTATGAGACACAAGATACATGGCCATCACCTTATTTATAGGCAGGCAGGCAGGCAGGCAGGCAATAAGCAGGACGACAGGCAGAGAAACAGAGGGGTTCCGTATTATAGTATGTAACTACTATTATATGCTGTGGCAGGAAGCAGCACAGAAGGCTCTGAACAAAGGAAGCTTAGCTTAGCAAAATGGAAGAAAACAAACAGCCAATCAATGAGCAAACAGTGCACGGCTACTGAAATGTGTGAATAATAATCCACGAGACGCACTGTGTCAAATGCCCAGCTCACGGTGAAGCTGGCTGGTTTTCGTGGAACCTCAACATCAGCGAGTGGCTGGTAGGCCCTGGTCGGTGCTAGTGTGCCACAAGTTTCCCCACATTTCATTATAGCTAGATAGCTCATCTCAACACACCACACCACACCACAAGTCCACAACACAGGTCAAGTCTCTCTTCCTCTCTTTATGTCCATATTTTCCTTCTCTCTTTCTTTCCCAATTTTTCTTCTCTCCCTCTTTCCATATTTCCCTTCTCTCTTTCTTTCCCAATTTTTCTTCTCTCTCTAATTAAGCTGATTGCATAGCAAAATGTTTTCTTTAGGGCTATGCTGCCATACTATCATTTACAGTATCAATTAGTTGGCCTAAGCTTATTGAAACTGGGGCATATCTATTATCTCATCGCCCATTTTTTATCAGTCAGCATGGTTGTTATACTAATTATTTGATACAGTACCTAGGAAATCACTAGGAAAGTCATACGCTAAGTGAAATTTATCAAGCTTCCGTTCCAAGCTTTTGAAATAGAGTAGGATTTAAATCAACAGCTGGCGCCTGGCGGACAGCATTTTCTTTTTATATTACTCAGGAGTATCGTTTAGCTGTTTTGTGCTGTCTGCTGTTGGTGATAGATTTGGATGACGAAGAAAGAGATGGGCATGAAAAGTCGATATCATCATGATGGTTGAAATTGAGGTGCTTGGAGCTCTCTTTCGGTGTGTTTTTTGACCATGTCTGATACATGAAATTTCCAACCAAAGTTGTATGCTTGACCAAAAACAGAAACGTTTGCTGTCAACGCTGAATACATGTAGCCAAAAACCGTGTAACAAGCATACGCCTGGGGGAAAAAAGAGCTCTCAGCATGATATCACCTGCATAAGTATGTACTTACAGTTTGAACATGTCTATGCATAACAGTTTTACCGCTGGTATTGTTTTGTGTAGTACAAGATAGCTCAGACCAGGGGTTTTCTTAAGAAAAGCCTCAGAAGCTTTGTCGCAGATTTTATTAGACGATAAAAAACTAAAAAATAAAATAAATTGCAACTAGTCATTCAAGGCCTTTATAGTAGTCTGTTTTTGGGCTATCTGAAATCAGTTTCCTTTTTGCTTTCTTCAGTCCAGGGTTTACAAGCAAAGTTTCACTGGAATTCCCAAAATATCCCCTTTTCCTCTGGCCTCTCGGTCTGATAACTTTTTTTGCGCACAAAAAATTCACGTTTCAATTCATGTTCTGTCCAAAATTGCACCAAATCGCCCGAGAATGGTCCTTCCAAATACCTCTACCGAAGTCCTAAAATTCTCCAAATTGTCAATTTCCCCGGCTCCCACGCCCAAGGCCACAAACATAGGCAGCTCAATCACCGTCAGTCTTGCCGTACTATTACTGCTCTACCTCAGTGATATGGTTGTATTATTTCTTCAATGTTATATACAGTTGTGATGCATGATGGATTGGAGAATCTTTCAAGTAAACTGATACTGAATTTTTTAAAACCAATTTGAATTTGGTCCAATATTTCAAAAAATCTGTGTTTATGGCTGAGGCCAAATTTTTTTATAATGATATATTGTACACCCCGGCTTAGACAATGTTATATTATTATTTTACTAGTTTCTAAAAAAATAAAGGACGTTGAGCACAAGCTAATCAGCTTATTTTTGAACGAATTAACTTGCCTAAACATCATATAACTAAAAATGGATGGAGTATAACAATTTAATTAGCCAAAGTTCACATTCAACCAGTAAGAACAAAAATATGTATGCCTCATATATCAAGACAATGTCTAGTTGAAAATTTTACAACTACTTCACGATCAAAGCACACTCTTCATTATTTGGCTAACCTTTTCTAACAACAATTATTGGTGGGACCCCCAAAAGATCTTTATGTGATTGCGTTGTAACATCACTGCTAAGAGCTACAATTAAAAAAACATCAGTGCTAATTAATAATTAAGCACAAGTCAGTGGAAACTTTGTATGACATGCGCAGTCTGCTTAAAAAAACAGCAGTCATATCAACAAGAGATCAGTGATGCAATAAGATTAAAAAAAATCCTTCATGATAATGAAGTAGCAAGAGTGTGAGTGATATATCATCTGTAACGGATAGGTATGGTTTTTAACCGATCAGTTTTGACCCTTGTTGGACAAAAACAAATTAAAGTTGCCGAACATAAGATCCAAAGACCGGTTGCTGTCCAAGTTGGCGTTCGTCCATGATGTTTACATGTCATCTAGTAGATTAATTAGTAGTTGCCTAGTTGTTGATAGTTATGGATTAGCACTAAACTAATTTCACTTTAACGTCGCTTAGTGCAGACAGACGAATCAGTGAAAGAAAAATAAATTAACGTAGTGCCGGGCCCTGTATGGTGCGCTAGCTTGCTTGATATTTTTGTTGCTCATCTAGCTGTAGTAAATTTTTTTTTCACGTCCACTGAAAAGAATATGTGCCCCTCGCTAAAAAGTAGTACCTGTGGAATTACTACGTACCGTTCAAGCAAACACAGGGTGCGGTTTATTTTTTTCCCAACCAATTCCACACGCTCTTTTTTCAGTGGACATGAAAAAAAAGATTTACCGCACCGAGTTCTGCTTTGATATATATAGTAATAATTTCGGACAAACTATATTCAAACAAATGCCAATAGTAACAATTGGTACCGCACCGCACATTAGCGTGGCTCAAAAGATTTTAGCGAGGAACAAACATACCTTTTTTTTATAATAGGAACAAACATACTCGTACAAACAAACTCGGACAAACTAAAACTGCCATTTTAACAACCACCATCGTTTGATTGCTTGATATGCAAGTGTTTTTTTTTCTCCTTTCTGTCGTGAAGCCAATATCAAAATGGGCCATGACAGGAGTATGTTGCTTCTTTCTTGTCCTGTCTCGTCCAGCCGGCCTAGCTAGCTATAGCTCGTGGCTAGCATGCAGGCCTCTGCATATGTGGCGTGCCCGTGGTGGACGGGGCCGGATCCGGAAGATGAGATCCACATCGGGCGTCATCCTGCGCTTTGGTCGCTTATCCTCCGCCATCAGGCACAGGAACGCCGAGCAGCCAATCTGATCGATGCCCAACAGCAACATGCATGTGTGGGCGTGTGGCTAACTCGTCTCACACAACAAGTGGAGACGTGTATATATATAGATGCTGGTTGATGGGGATCTCCATCCAAGTTCCGTATCTTCTACTACTAGCTACCTAGCTAGCTAGCTAGCTTCACCTAATTAAAGAGTTGATATACTAAGGCATAGATATATTTTTTCCCCAAGAGTTGAATTGTTTGTAGCAAAATGTGGATACTGCAATATCTGTACAAATTTCTTTATAAAGACCAAAATAATTACCGTTTAATTGATAAATATATATATATAAGGCAGAAATGCATTTTGTTAGAGTCTAGGTGAAAATGGATCCAATACTATACAGAATTATATTTGACCCATTGACGAGATCCTAACATAGGGGTATGTTAAGCCTCGGGATCAAAGGTTCCAGACCGGGAGACCCCCGACCGACGTTTCCAGGATCGCGCGGGGGCTCGGGAGCTATACCTATCGGGTACGCTCGTGCGCACCCTCCAGCTAAGGTATTGGGCCGAGCCCGAACACGCACGCCACCTCTGCTCGGGACTCAGGAGCTCGCCCGAGCCTCAGGCTCCTGATCGACGGGACTCTGGACCTGATCCTTGTCTCCCTCCCAGCCTTCGGCGCTAACCAAGGCTCGGACTCGAGACAGGCGCCCTGAGCCACCAAGGCTTGGGGGCTCCCTAGCGTTGCCCCACAGGTGCGGCGCTGTCAATCGCTCCTCCGATAGGGTCACGCACGGGGTGTGACGCAAGAAGACAAACTCCTCTGCTAGCTTCAGGGGCTCGGGGGCTTCCGGGCCCATGCGTCAGCCCCTCAAGCCGGCTACCTTCACCACCAAGTGAAAGCTCTAGTTTGGTTTTGGTGAATTGATGAAACCCTAAGTGCTAACCTAGTTTATCAAGTGATCATGAGATAGGTAGCACACTCCAAGTGGTCAAGCAAATAAAGATCATAACATGATGATGGTGATGCCATGGTGATGATCAAGTGCTCGGACTTGGAAAGAAGAAAGAGAAAAACAAAAGGCTCAAGGCAAAGGTATAAATTGTAGGAGCTATTTTGTTTTGGTGATCAAGACACTTAGTGAGTGTGATCATATTTAGGATCGATAGCCATACTATTAAGAGGGGTGAAACTCGTATCGGAATGAGGTTATCAAAGTGCCACTAGATGCCCTAACTCATTGCATATGCATTTAGGATTTAGTGGAGTGCTGACACCCTTAAAAATGGTTGTGAAAATATGCTAACACATGTGCACAAGGTGATACACTTGGTGGTTGGCACATTTGATCAAGGGTGGTGAAGTTTAGGTGCAAGGGTAAGAAACTCCACTGGTGGAGTGTTCGCCCGTAGAGTGCGGATAGTCCAATGGTGCCACCGGCGCCCTAGACAGAAAAGACGAAGGTCACTGGGAGTGACCGGCCGCTGGCCTCGGTTGCACCGGTGCGTCCGGTCAGGTGTAACAGC